AGAGTCCCACCTCTACCTACTTCCGTCTTAAATATAGAACTCGAGGTATGTCCCAGAGACCCCCTGCGTCATTAGGAAGCCATGCTAGGCCGTCTATTAAAGTGCGCCAAACAACCTCTCCAATAGAGGCCCAAACCACGTAGACATATGTGACGTGTTCGCACACATGGGTGCAGGGGGATCAGTACTTGAAGGCGAACCAAAGCCATCCAAGGTTGTTGACTGCGAAATTGCTTGTATAAACATTTCAGTTAACCAGCCGTAGTGAGTTCAGTCAAATTAAACAGCTTGATACTAGTAAAGATTGTCAAGTTGCTAAAGATAAAAGTGGCATGAAGTAGCGAGATCAAAGAAGCTCTGAATATCAAGGAAAAGAGCTCACCGGCGCACCTGAGAATCAAATCAAGAGATTTGAATATAAATCCAAATATCAATAAAACTCCTGTGATCGGAAACAATAAAGCATTGGTGACAGCACTCCACGATAGAAGTCCGCACAACGATCAAGCTGAGGATTCGACAATTAGACATTTGTATAGTGCACTATTTTTGGCCTGAAAACTCCAACTTATTCAAGCGACCTTTATGACATAGTCTCTTCTTTCCAAGTAACCCCAGTAAACATCACATCACAAGCACTAAAATTTCAAGTATGGCTATTAGTGTTCTGAAGCCATTACTCACTTCTTTAAATTAGGCCATTCGCTTGTTTTTACTTAATTAACTTCGCCATCTGCTACCTTACTTCATATTAAAACCGGCGCACGTTATTAGAACTGTCCTGAGAATATTACAGGAGCTTCAGCAATATATTGATCCCAAATACTGATCCTTAAAGAATAATATAAGATCACAACTTCACTTTCTACCCAGCCCACTTCCATATTTGTCCATCCCATTCAAATATTATTCTGTGGATCTTAGGAACTTAAAACCAAGGAAGGCACAACCTGAAATGGAGAAATTCAACCTCACCCTCTCTAGCAGCAGTGGCAGAACATAGCGAAAGAGATGAAGACTGCGTTGGATTACTACCCGCATTTGCAGCTATAGACGACATCGCCGACTGCAGACTCTTAAGCCACGAGAGTTTAGCCTCTTCAGAGGGCGCGCGAAATAGAAGAATTGCCGTCGACTTTCCACATGGACGCAATACGTAGTCTTTTTTCTCGATGTGTGACTGATGGAGCTTCACCTAAAGAGGAAAAGAGTAGGGGTATCAAATGGGAATTCAGTTAGAATGGTTTGCAATTTAATGAGAGCTTACTTGGCAATGAAGACATTGCAGTGCAGGGGGAGGTGAGATAACATGCCAACAGGCCTTTTTACACAATTCACAGACTGCAGGAACTCGGAAATGCATACGCTGGAGCATGTGGCCTTGAAGGGCTATTGGGTCATTAGTTCCTCTGCTGTCACAGGCCTCTGAGGACAGCAGTGGATCGCTAGAAACTGCATGGGTAAGCTGAAGCAGCTGGCCGGAGGAGTTGGTTCGGTTTTTGAGTAGGTGCTTCTGTTGCTGAAGAGCTTTGGTGGTGGGACTACTAGCAGAGAAGGTGTTTGAAGAGGAGAAACTGAGTTTACGGGGGAGGGTCTTAGAGGAACCTAGAAAAGGAAGTGTTTTATCATCAAATACGAAAATTACTAGGAAGCTTGTCATACAAATGCATGGGAAAATTCAGCTCAACTCAAACAGGAAATCAGATCTAAGTGCATTCGTGAAAAAAAAAGATATTGGTGTCCTTTCACTACACATTAACACTGAAATAATGATGTCTAGTGCATGAATTCAGCATCACTTCCTAAGGTGATTTGGGAAAGGGTCTTCAGGTACTCAGAGTGAGTAAAAAGTATTCCAACCACTAACCAATATCAGCAGATTTAACCAGTGCGGTTGATGGGCGTCGAAACTGAGAACTCTAACTTGGCAGAAGGGCAAATTGACTGTTGCACCATGAATTCAATAGTCAGGCTCAATGTCAGGCGTGAGGGCAAAATCCTAGCAAACAAAATGTTATAAGTCAAATAGGATTTAAACGACTAAACGATCCTCACAAACACGGATGAACGGAAATCTAAAGGATATATTTCATAGAGTAGGGGAGCGCAATAGACTTACCTCCACGTGGTGCACCCTGGGCAACGTATACTCATGCGGCAAAAAAGTCTATTAACTGGCAGTTGACTTCTGACTTCAAATGACCATCACCCCCACTCTATGTCATATTCGATCCCTACCACTACTCATCTTACCCTTTCTGAGCCTTTGTGTGCGTTTCTTTTACATCTTTGAAACACCCTTCTATTCCCTCTCCTGAATTCTTCTCACTTTGATGTTCCTCCTCCCCTCTGTGAAGCCCGAAGTCTACTAAAGGCCTAATGATAATTATCAAAACGCCTGCCATTTGTTATAAATAAAATATTTTGTTAGTGTAGTGAAATGATTGTCAAAGTTTCGACTTTGAGTCGTAATGGAAAATGATTATTTGTTTAAAGGCCAGACGATTCTTAACAATTGGAAGCAAATATCTGTTGCAAGATATATTTTAATTTTCAAGAGGAGATAACCACACCACTATGACTCCAGCTACCAGCACTGGAGGCTATCTATGAATAAAATTAAAAGCCTGAAAAGGTGTTCACAGAACATTAAGAGACCTCGCCTGTAACCGCAACCTTGATTTCGCACAGGTCCCCTTCATAAGTGCCAAAGACAAGGCCATTTCCGTATAAACTCTACTGATTAATTAAATCAGTTGAGTTCTTCAACATCCACCGTTCAGAAATATTGAACTAAGATGCTACTTCAAAAGTCGAACTTAAAAGGTGCATAAGATGCACGAATGATGAGAGTTCAAATTCAATTAAAACCTGCAACTAGGCCAAGGTAGTTGAGTTGGCTAGAAGTTAAATCAAAACAAATGCAAACATTCACTCATACAAGTCGGCAAATTCCACCAAAGGTAAGTCCCTACCTCAAATAGCTCAAATAGTCAAATTCCACGTCCACAACTAAATTGAGGGCTATATGGCACATTTAAGAATATAAAACCTTAGATAAAAGTCAATATTCCATATTTGAGAAAAAATCTCATAAAATGCATCGAATTACATTAAACTATAAATTGATTTGCAGGTATAGAAGACTTTGAGGAAGTAGTAAAGACAACAACGACACATACATATCAAAACAGAAACTCGAAAACTTCAAATGAATCAAAATAGATGAAATGAAAACGTTTTTTTCAAATAATAAGGAAACTTTACAACATCAAAAATTATTAATTACTCATATGGTAGAACCCTTAGGGGAAGAATTTCTTAATTTATATAATATTGGCAACTTACAATATATAGGTCGCTGAAGTGGGCTTCTGAATTCCGTGTACACTCAAGGAGTCTACGAAAAAGATCAGTTTGTATAAGCGCTTGGGGCATATTCATGGTCTAAAATGAGAGAGCAAATCATACTGGTGGGTTAAAGACAAAACATGCGAAACCTCAAGCTGTTGAACTCACCCGCATTAACTTTGTTCCCCATTCACGAATCAAAACCGGAGTACGATTGACAATGCAAAGAACAATAGCATGTTCACAGCCTTCCTCAAGTTTCACTTCGTGTGAGTAAAATGAGGGGAGGTACAACAAATCTCCAGCCCTCATCTTGAAACTCATTTCAGCACTTTCAATCTTTACATTCCCGTTTCCTACCGTACTTTGTGGAGAGGTGACTTTTACTGTTAAATCATTTTCAAGGACAATTATAAATACATCTCCTGGGGGGCAATTGGGAGATTTAAAATCAACCAGGGAACCGGAAAAAGAGGTGGAAACGAAGTTAACAACTGAGTAGATCGGCCCATTGATGATCTCCTGAAGAAGGCCCATTTCCACTCCGAATTTGCTAAAATACCTCTCGGGAAGCAGAAATCGGACAGTAGCACCATTCTAAATACAGAAAACTCGATTAGAAATTAAAGTAGGAATAAAATTGCCAAAAATAAGCAAAACCCACAGCAAATTCAGACCAAATTTTTGGACGATAAGCTCTGCCTGTGAAATTTGAGGAACCATTAATGAGTTCAATATCCTTTCCGAAATAGAGTCGTTTCGTAGTGACCAAAATATCTAGCTTCTGAATAGGTAGAAAGAGATTTAGATTGCAGCGCTTTTCCC